CATGTAATATACATGTCGATCTGTCTATGGCTGAGAAAAAAAATATCTCTGTTTCTCGTTTCCGTGCGCATCATTTTGAACTGTGCCGCCTCAGATGTTTTTTTTCCCTTCTAAAGCATTCCAAAATGCGCTTGTACTCACACTTGTCTCAAATTTCACCTTATTTTAGCTCAGTATTCAAAAAAAAAAATAATAAATCGCCTCGCCAATTTCCATGAAACTAGAAACAGAGATTTTTTTTTTCCTGGCCTATACTGAACATATTTAATCAGTTTTCTTTACACCTCTATATACTGAACAGAGTCCTTTTGGTGAATGGTTTCACTGCATAAAAGTCACAGATCAAAACATCAGACTGTATATACACAACCAGACCCTTACCTCAAAAAATACATACATACATACAACATCACTGTATTATGCTATAAAAGTCCTACTCGGCAATGAAAGTCTTTCAGCAAAGAATACTTCATTGTGTTCGAGGCAATTGATACACGCGTATATATAAGTGAACAATTTAGAATGTTCCAGCAAGAATAAAAATAGCAACACAGTAAGCAAATTAAATTATACCCTAATTACATATTTTAAATCCAGGAGATATCCAGTCTGTTGGCTTACCGCTGAGATGTAATGATCCCCCAGGAATAAACTACAATAGCAACCAGCATGGAGACTGACATACACACTGTTCTTACATGTACCAGAGTAAACAGAATTACTGATCATGCAATGTACATGTATCCATGGTATCATGTTGATTGCAAGTCATGACCCTCAGTGGGGGGCAAGGAAATGTAGATACACTATAGGGATTTACTTGACCCTATTTCGCCGTAGTTGCGTAGTATAATGATTTTTCTGAGTTAACACGATCTGAACATCACAGACGAGCTTTTTGAGCTGCAAAAGATGCCACTCCTCTAGTAACAACTGGGCTAGTCACTCTCAGTTTTTACTGAACCAGGGGGGAGGGGGGTCTCTTATTATTATTTTTTTATATTTCAGGGCAACATAAATGTGCTGGTGGGCACTAGTGACTTTAAACTAATCAAATCCACTATAACTACAGATTTCACTAAATGGGATAAAACATTCAACTGAAAAATTACACCTCAAGTTCTGTAAACATACACTTGGTTTAAATAGATATATTGCCAATGAAGTCTGGGACAAAGCCATTGACATTTTAGCATCTTGTATTTAAACACTATTGGTACATGTAGCAATGTTTCACAGATCTCCCAGAAGACTTTCATACAGTCTTAGCTTATTATGAACAAACTACATATAAGTCACCTTAGAATTACCGATACACTTGGAATACTAATATAAACAATCTCTTGAAAGAGAACAGTTTGCCATAAATTTACACAGAAATAATTATATTAGAAACACCAAAACACTAAAATAATTAACACTAAGAATGTATTTAAAAGAAATTAAAAACATTAAAAAAAATATATATCAGAGCTATGGTAAAAATAAATTGCAAAAGAAGATTTGCCAAGTTTAAAAAAGAATATCGCTATAGAACGTGCTTAGTCAAATTAAAACCAAACACCCATGATTTGAATATAGAAAACATACATACACACATGCCTCAAGATACCAATAAAAGACCAGATATGTGTACACTGCAATAATAATTTAATTTATGATATGGTCAGAATACCACAATTTATCACAAGATATGTTAAGGCAAATAACATTACCATCGACTTAAGTAAATGATATAGACAAGTTTATATTTGAATGGCAAAAAATAACAGTCACATAATATTAGACATCATTGTCCCCATACCTTTGCTATATCCCAAAATTGTAACCATAACTACATTGTATTTGCCTATATTTTTACACTTGTTATTATTCTATTTATTTGCTAACCACTGATAGAAATTTTTAATTTTAAAGTTGCAATAAAGATATATATTAATATTAGTATGCAATGAGAGGGAATGTGGACATTGTTAAAAGCCGTACTGGTTCACAAAGATGATATACAGCCAAAACAAAGTCAACTTGGACTTTCAATTGTGAGACATGACAAAACAAACACTGCCAGTGATACATTTTGAGAATAAAAAAACAAAATAAATGTAATAAAAGGTGCTGACAACACACGTTGGAAATAAATAGAACACATTTCGACGATTAGTCTCACTGCCTCTTTTACTCATGCAAACGCACACATAAGTGCTATTTCTATATATTGAATACGTTGTTGACAACAACAAAAAACACCGAAAGGGACAAGTTCGAGTTGAGTTGAGATGAGTTACTAGTAATTACAAACCTGCTTTACATTTTTCTTGCGGTGTTTTTTTCTTCGTCAATGTATTATATATAAGTGTGTTGGGAAATCTCACAACTGAAAGTCCAAGCTGACTTTGTTTTGACTGTAAAAGGATTCATTTTTTCACCTTAAAATTTATTTTTCTTACTACAGATACATGTATTGGTAGAAAGTCTGTTCTTATACTATGGTGTCTCAGATTAGCTAAGACAATTAGTAACAATGTAGCATACTAGTACATACTGCTGAGAGCTCTCTGGATTTATTTTATTGTTAGTAAATGGGATAAAATGAAAATAGCAAATAATTTAAACAATAGCACCAATATTTTATACACCTGTGTTCTTTGTGTAATTTTTATCAATTTATCTTCAGATTTTTAATAAATTTGAAAAACAAAAATCTCAAATTATCGACAGAGAGCATTATATACTCATAGAAATTTTACAAGACAAATTTCAGTAAAATTCCGATTAGCAAAAAAATGTAATGGTTTACCAGCAATCTGCTGTCATGTTCGACTTTAATCTGTCTGTCCCACTAATCCACGTAATACAAGAAAACACACGTCAATGGTTTATATACAAACATCCAAGAACGCAATTGATTTTAAATTCACAATTTAAAAATACCCTTTTCTTGTGAATTCAGAAATATTCACTATATTTCATAATCCACAATGAACTGAGAATTTGAGGTGCCGTGATGCGCCCGACAAACTGATGATGAGTCGACGTGACACCTCCAAGTGGCTGAGAACACGAAACACAGCCTGCTTGCTAAACAGGAAGTCAACACTTCAGACAAACAGACTGACTTGCATCGGGAAATCGGATTTGGCGATCAGATTCACTCGTTTTACAACCAATTTACAGCTAATTTAGAAGAAGCCTTATGTACAAGAGTGAAATAGTCGTGTCCGTGGGACGTTTTACAGCACTGAAACATTCGAATGGAGACGACAACAACACAAGTAGACATTCACACAAAAAATACGGATATCAATGTGTTGAGGTGCAAAGTTCCTCGTCACGTAATTAAGATCTTGAAAAATCCACAACACTAAAACCATTTCCGATATATTATTCAATATTACATGTTAGCGAAAACACAGGCAATTGGAAGAATCGTCTTTCTTTAGGTGTGATATAACATAAATAAACTTACCAGGTAAAGAGAAAACAGTATCTACTCTGTCCTAGTCGCCATCTTTAATGATTAGTCACGTGATTAGATGACGTCATCGTCGTTATTGTATGTCGTTAGTGTATCTCTTGGATACAGACCCTGACGTTTTGATTGCTAAATGTTTACATAATCGTTAGTAGCGAGCTTGTTCACAGTCCTTGAAGGCAATATGGTTTATTATATGTTGATTGTTATAGTTTCTCACGCGTCGAGCAGTCCGAGCGAGCACAAAGTTGTATCATGGAAGGCTCCTACTACCTCCGTGGTTGTATCTACGTCTCAAAGAGTCTATCTTGAGACTAATGATTTAGTGCTGTGACCTCGATCTAAACATGATGTGTGTTTTTAAAAGGTGTGTCAAAGTGACCGACTTTTTTTTATTCTGAACGATTCATCGTGACACAGTCCCGTTGTCATTGCATAGAGTTTCAAGCGAGTTCAATGTTGTTTTTTTCAAACTATTTGAAAAGACTTTTTAACAATTTTACCTTGTAATGAAGTCAAGTGATCAATACTCCTTTTTAGAAAATGAGGTCTGTGCCAATCATTTCACAAATTTTCTACACATATCGTTGACAAAATTGACAACGCTCACATTGGAACAATCCTAATTTGCAAAACTGAAATGCTGTTCTGGTTTATCACTAAAATATTGTGAACTAAAGAACTCGATTACCGGTACGTACTATTAAAGGGCGGTAGTCATCGCGCCGCGCATGCTAGAGGTATGGGTCTCATATAAACAAGGATGGTAATTTTGACTGTTGCGCAGATCAACGAGTACAAACTGAGACGTTACCAAGCTTTAATTAGATATTTTTTTTTTGGTGCTTGGAAGGTATCAGAAGGTATTGAAGGAGTCGCCTGCGGTATCTAGTGCAAGTGGCGCCCAGGGCAAAACTCGTACTCATGATTTCACTAGAAAAGCGCATTGGATTCTGGGAAAATCAATGTTTATCAACACAAATGTCGCAGTTCCATAACGCCTTCTGTGGAACCATCTGACTGCAAATTATCGACAGAGGGCACTATTCATTTTACTTGATACTTCCAAAGTCACGCTGAAATGCAAATGTGTTAGACGAGATTTGAAGCATTTGAGTGTGTAGAGTGCCAGAAACAAATCTACGGTAGATGGGCCTGGCGTATGGTGTGTTTTTTCTAGAATGACGACTAGAAATATGTCTAGTGTACGTTTTTTTGTTCTCTTATTGTTCTTGACACGGAATGACAACCATGCTTTATTGTACTTTTAGGATACGACTTCAATAAAGACTTCAATTATTATTACAATAAATACTCATAAACACCCATTAACACCTGTTTATTGTATTCACTACCCAGTAATTCCCACCTAACCACCCTTAAACATAATGGAATGATCGATTCTCGCCTACACTGGATTTTCATATAACTTTCGATATACATTTTCTCATGAGGTAGATTGCGACAAAACATTATAATACATTTGAATTAATCAGTAATACACTTTAAATAAACGTCTATATATATGGTCCCCTTCAAAAACGCCCATTTCGGCAGACTGGATGTTATTGCGGCAGACGAGATGTTATCGGTCCACAACTGAAAAAATGAAGACGAAAAACATGTTATACGTTTAGATTTAGCAACTTCCGATTCCCGAATATATCGTTTTCGGCAAATATCGAATTATTTTTTTAAAACTCGCCAAAACTCAATTTGCTTCACCATTTTACCGACTATTTATAGATTAAATCGGACATCTTCTGTCAATATACAATAAATAGTCATATCTGTTATTCATACCAAGGCCTCAGGTTCTTGGACATAGAAACGAGTGCATATCTCTCGAAGAATACAATGCTCCCTGAAATGCTAGTAAATACAGGACTCGTACCAGAATTAAACTTTTTACAGACGCCAGTGTGCACACTTCAGAGGTCTGGTTACCATCATATTATAATTCCGGGTCTCCAACACAAGCGGACCTTAGGTAACCAGGCTAACACTCTCTACCCGAAATTTTAAAATTAAATTGTCTATGGTTCATATGTTATCATTAAATACTACTTTTAGCCTGTCAAATAAAAAAAAATGTTATCACGTTCTTGTGCATTTGTGTTAGAAGATTTAATTGCAGAGTTAAACGCTTTGGAACTTTGGTCCGTGTTTCAAGTTGTTTTCAGTTTTCTCGTCTAAATATCAGACTGGAATCTGGATTCCTAAACGAAAACTGAGACTAACTTTACTCACGTTGGATCTTCAGCTCTGAATTTTTCAGCAAGATCGTCAATGGATTGTTCTCCTTGTAGTTCATCGGTTGGGTCACCATTGTAATTTCCACACAATCCACACAAGAATCTAGCACTGGTATTTATTATTCGAATAGTCAGACTATGTTCTTTACAGTCATAGATTGCAACGTATTGGCTGTTGGATTGCATGGTAATAATATGATTTTTTCTTTCGATAGACCCAATGGCCCACGTCTGTGACGTCTCCAGCCAGGGTACACCATTGACCTAAAGACGTATAATTAATGAGTGCACATAAGTTTTAATCAAAAATGGCATTGTTTACTATCCGAGAAACTACTCGCCAATCAAATCGTATACATGTATATGAAAATAACCCATCACATCCAAATTGTGTGGGTTCTATGGTTTAAAAACAGTGTATAGCATTGTCATCCGTAATGTCTGTAAATACAACTATATTGTATAGAGATATTGGTTATAATCTAAATGACGACACAACAAAACACATGTGAAAGCTTTGATATGCTCATGAATTGTTCGAGCTACAAAAATGTCCATGTCGATAATTTTATAAACCACACCCACATTTTTACAAAAGCAGGCGTTGTTTATAAAATTATCGGCATGGACATTTATGTAGTTTTGTTAACTTGAAGTTGAAAGTAACTAAATTTGACTCTAAACAACAAAAACAACTCATATCGCCCGTAACTCGAACTATTTGCAAATCAAGTTATAATTTAGGCGTCGTTTTGCAAAAAAGCGTGTGTCATAAAAAATAGACGTGGTAACTCGATGTTTTCTATTACCTTTACGCCCACCAGTCAACTAATTTGTCTAATTTAGGCTATTCTAAATATACCGACTCATATTTCACGTGGATATAGAAAACTATTTACAGACAAACAGTTCCTCCAGCCACAGTTTTCAAATGGCTAATTCCAATATAGAGTGCCGTTCATATGGTTATAACCGGGTTGCCACAATCGAAAGAAAAATAATCACATCGAGTACTTTACCTCTACGGAGCAGTCAGCTCGAAATAACTGAATAAAGTGACCCGTACCAAATCGACGAAGTACGATGCTAAATATTTTGGAATGATGTCCTGTACCAACTCCAATTAATCGTCGATGGTTCTTGGTATTAATGGTAACAACGGGTTCCTGGCCTCTGTTTCCACACCAATACAACGCATGGTATGAGCACATACCCATGAAGCTGTAGCGAAATCCATCAAAGGTGATAAAGTGTGGGTCACCATATATTTTACACTCTGTAATTAACAATACAGTTTTACTGGATTATCTTAGTTATGGTTGTACTAATGTGGGATTCTCAAATCGTAATGTTGCAACGGGGGAGGGGGTGATAATTGATCTGTGATTCAGATATTTTCCAAACATTGCTAAGCATGTTACCATAACAACGTATGCATCATTTGAAAGCTTCGTTGTAGACGAATACTGTAGTGCATATGTCGTACTACTTTTCTAGGGCCAGTTTTAGCAGTACATTGAATGTAGTTGTTTGGTCGTAGATAAAGAGAAACCGGACGTGATTGTCTAGCATACATGGTTTTGAACGTCCTGTGCAATTCACATGTCATGTGCGTGACTGGAAATGTTAAATCACACAATAGCAAAATTGGTTGTCAGGTGATTTTTTAGACAAACTTTGGTACTGAATCAGTTTCAGTTTACGTGACTTTTAGAGAATATCTGAATCGCAGATAAATTCTGACCTCGTTTTCCCTGTTACTACCTAAAGTTCGTTCCATTTGTTATGGTCGCACGATACGTGTTCATTACAAGTGTACACATATTATGTTCGCACGATACGTGTACATTACAAGCATACATATATTATGTTCGCACGATACGTGTACATTACAAGCATACACATATTATGTTCGCACGATACGTGTACATTACAAGCATACACATATTATGTTCGCACGATACGTGTACATTACAAGCATACAGATATTATGTTCGCACGATACGTGCACATTACAAGCATACACATTATGTTCGCACGATGCGTGTACATTACAAGCATACACATATTATGTTCGCACGATACGTGCACATTACAAGCATACAGATATTATGTTCGCACGATACGTGTACATTACAAGCATACACATATTATGTTCGCACGATACGTGTACATTACAAGCATACACATATTATGTTCGCACGATACGTGTACATTACAAGCATACACATATTATGTTCGCACGATACGTGTACATTACAAGCATACAGATATTATGTTCGCACGATACGTGTACATTACAAGCATACATATATTATGTTCGCACGATACGTGTACATTACAAGCATACACATATTATGTTCGCACGATACGTGTACATTACAAGCATACATATATTATGTTCGCACGATACGTGTACATTACACGCATACACATATTATGTTCGCATGATACGTGTACATTACAAGCATACATATATTATGTTCGCACGATACGTGTACATTACAAGCATACATATATTATGTTCGCACGATACGTGTACATTACAAGCATACAGATATTATGTTCGCATGATACGTGTACATTACAAGCATACACATATTATGTTCGCATGATACGTGTACATTACAAGCATACACATATTGGGATTATATTCAAATTGCTAGAATTATTTATTTCAATGCAAACAGACATTGTCAACAAAATATAAATTAATATTTAACAAATTCAAAATAGTTTTAGTTGCTGTTCTTGTTATTAATCATATTCACGGCAACATGCTTTTTCAGTTAGTTAATTGTAGACTAATTTAAATAGTATTTTTTTTACATATTGTTCGGCATCTGGATATAAAAGAAACAGTTTTACAGAAACAGATTTTATAACTTTTAATTAGATATTGAACATCACACACTCTATTTCTTGTCAAATTCTTGTTTGTAATGATTTACTAGATTATAAATCAGATAATCTTTGTCGCAATTTTGTTCATGTGTTCATGTGACAATTAACAAGTAATGACGTCTAATATCGGACGTTTGATGATTCTCCATTTCTCAATTGCATTTTGTATGTGTTTACAGCTCTATAGCCTAATACGAGATATTTTACATAGTAATGTCAAACCCCGACAAAACTGTAAAAACGACCTGAGAGTACAACTTTCATATACAGTTTAACTAATAGTTGCTAATAGATTGTTATCCTTACTGCTAATCGAATGTGATAGAACAGTTCCTAAATATAAAACCCAACTCCCAACTCTAAATACAAACGAATTAAATCATCGACAGAGAACGGAATATATTCCATAATGATTACTTCCTTGCATGTTTATTACGCAAGGATACGGTGAAGACAGTTAAACCAACGACACGCCCATTCACAAGATAGCGTTGAAAACAATTCATATATAGTACTGGGGAGAAGTCATAATGTATTACTAAAACAACTAGCATTACTAATTACCACTTTCAATTTATTGAGGATTCAGGTTGATTAGTAAGGTTTCGAGATCTTTTAAAATTCCGGCACAATGCTGTGGATATTGTATATCATTGAAAATATAACACTCATACGAACTGTAATTTCACTGGCCCTTTCTGCTATGTTACATCTAATACCATGCATAAGTAGACTGCTGATTTCACTACTTTTATGAAGATGTAATATATCATAAAACAAAGCACAGAGACGGAATGAGCAATGATGCACATCACATACAATAACAGAAATGTAAAAAGAAAATAATAGCAACAATATACAGGAAATCATATAGATAATTAAAACAAGAACATGGAAAAAACAGGAAAGAGACAAAAGACAAGACAGCAGATGACCATCAGCATTTACATATTGGATTCCAAAAGATGGAAATGTCACGAATTTATTTTGTTATAATTGGTAACTGTTACAAATCAGTTAGTTTCTAGGTATTTGCAATAAATCGATTAATGTATGTATACTTGAAGTATGAATATAACAATTGCATAATAACATAATTATTTGTGCGTACTCACCATTTGGATCGTTCTTCCTTTCCACTCTCTGCTCGAGTCATTTCCGCCAACATGTAAATGGAAAATACGAACTATTATTTTATGAAATACTTAAAATAAACAACAAAAATTCAAAATGTGGGTTCTTTCCCACTAAATCGTAAATACTCTCTTATACATGGTGTTTGCATACTAGCAGTAACAATGTGAGGTGACGAATAATGAAATATAATTCACAATAATCGCGTATAATTAATAATTGGCTGTCAACATGAACGTACAATGTGACAGTCAGACCAACGCAACGGTTTTAGATACACCTAAAATTTCTGAAGCTTTTGTGTATTTGAATAGAAATATTCATCGATAGTTTTTATAATAATAATAATAATAGTAATATTTATGTTTGCAATATTCATTTGTATTTGATGATTTAAGGTTTGTTCCTATGCATGTGTTACTTTTGTGAGGTGACGTATGCGGTGCTAATGAAACGTCACTGCCAAATCAGCCATGTATACGGATGTTGTGGCGCCGGAATCAAGTATTTGTAATTAGATTAGCATTCTTCAATCGATCACGAACAGCTCAACCATTAATTGTTATACCGTATGTTACCAACAGCCGATGCATTTCACAATGACGTAAGAGGCCGGTGTTCGCTTCACTGTGATGATGAATTCTTATTTAACTACTGAATGTCAAATGATTTAAAGTAAATCACAGCGACGGAAAAAATCAGATCTGAAATATAATATATACCGGTAATATCGTAGCAGACACACAATTTGCATATTTGGAAATAAAACAACACTAATAAGTAATATATTATCTAATTATGCCTGTGAACATTCAGTTCCCGCTCTATTTTTGTGTGTGTGTGGTATTTTTCGATTTTGTTTGTAGTCCATGCACCATATATAAATATATGTTTCGATGGCGATTGTGAACTTGTGTTCTTTTCAGTCGTTTGCGAATAACGAAACGTATGTTACAGCAGTATAGCCAAGTTGAAAGATAAAACAAATGTGAATATATTATACAATATATCACGTATACGTACCTCCAGTTCTTCACCATATACCACAATTATACCACATATAGAGACCAGCAGGCAAATAACTACTCGAAACGCTTCCATCTCCTACTGGTATTGAAATGATGAATTTTACGACTTGAATGACACGAACACAATGACAGTGACGCAGTTGTCAAACAGATATTATATATACTTAAACACATCGTTCTATGACAATCATAGATTATACACAGTCAGCAGTTTTGATTGGTTACAAGTTATGTATTAACATAAATTTGAATATTCCATGACTTTGACCTTGGGTTGGTAGCGGCACCATGACTGTCAGGGTATTTAGCAATGACGACATTTTTCATGTCGACACTCACCGGAACAAATGTCTGTTATGCATTTTGGATTGTTTGTGGGAACGCGCGTGACGTCAACAGCTTCAATTTATCTACGATAATACGATAGTTAAGACACCAGTGTTCAACTCACAAGCTTAGTGTTAAATGTGACATATGATATTACTACCAGTTCTGTTTAAAATCAATAATTACTTAATTAGTCTCTTTCCTTCTATATTGTCTTTAAATAAATTACTTGACCATCTCAATAATGATTAATGTTTATAAAAAGCATAACCCTAATTTGGCGAGTTCACTAACTATATTTCGTTATGGCTTCCACTGAGTGACATATTTCGTTTATGACATATAATTGCCTTATAAAAATGTCATGAATGGAATTGACTAAAACACTAATCAACTATGGACTGTAAAACGAAATGTGTGTTTGAAAGACAACTTACTTATTGCTGTCGGTTGTATGAATATAGGCGAACTACGCAAGCACATAAAAAAACTCAAAAGCGATATTCAGAATTTGGCAAATGAATGAACAAATGTTCTTTATAGCACAAATTGGCTGCAAAAAATGTCACGTGATCCGTGAGTGTCGTATATTGGTTGTTTGTTTACTCCATTATTATTTTCAGCCATTATTCTAGCGGACTACCCATCTACAATATAATTACTAGCTTGAAACTGATTCATTTCACCATTTCATAACAGCTGTCATTGTCAGTACGTGTTATTATTACTTTTGTAAACCAAGAGATTTGTGTGTTCCCCATATCTACTGGGCCAGAAAGTTGACTAAATTAGGTCAATGGGAAAGTGTATAACAGAAGATAACTGTTT